GTGCTGGACAGTGAGTCCAATTGTAGATGTATACAGTATTACAGAAGAATTGTTGGTGTTCTACCACTATTTGCCTTTAATACAACTTCCAATTTTCTTAGAATCGATTCATACAACTTTTAAACTTGTGCCAGTTATATTAAAAATTTTTTATATATTAAAAATATATTAAAAACAAATGCCAGTTGCTTCAGAGATGTTGGAGGAGGATATCAGCTTCTCACTCTTCTCTTCAAAACTGTCTACAATGACTTGACAGTATTCAAGTAAGGTGATTTATCTGGCCAGGGCAGATGTTGAAGTTCCTCTTGGTGCTCCAACAGTCCAGGTTTTCTGATCATGACACCATAATTTTTCCCATTTAGCATTGATGTCTGGGAGTAAAGTTTTAGCAATTGCAGCTCCTTCATGGATGTTGGCTTTGTGAAGTTCTCTGTGGTCAGTTTTTGTGGAAACACGGTCTTCAATATTGAGGTTTGCTGTCACTCTGTTTTGTTTGGGCGCAATCCTTCTTAGAGATTTTCGGTCCCTATAATGGTCCCTATCATTCACTTTCGGGTTTTGCCCACTATTTTTCCTTGCCGATGAAGTCTTGCCATGTTTTGTGTACATAGTCAGAATTGTAAAGACAGAACAATTAGGCTGTTAAAGTTACAGACACTCCTGCTGAATGGGCTTCCATAATTTTCCATTTTTGGGAGTCTGACAAGTCCATATTTCACCCACAACTTGTACTAAACACTGCTGAACACAACTTATACCACACTGATAAAGAACCTAGAGAGTATAGATAACATAAAAGGTAATTGTAATGTTTGTTTTTTCACTGTAGCCTGCAAAAAATTACATTAATGCCTATAATAATGGGTGATCACGTTATTTTGTCCAACCCCTGTATATATTTTCATGCTAGATCATCAGTTGAAGAGCATGACTCTTTACTTTAATATTATCAATGTCAGTATCAAACATTAAAACAATCTGATTGCCTTTCATCCACATCTCTTTTAGTTCTCTACATACTTCCTTTCTCTTCTCACACACTTCACACACTCTCATTCTCTTCATTTTGTCCATCTTTATAGAGAGGCTGCAGTGTGTGGTGTAGTGGAGCTGGAGCACCGGATGAATGACCACAGCTCTCAGTTCCCTGCAGCAGCAGGGAGATTCCATTAATGTGTTACTAATTGCTGTTAAGCGGCCTGATGTTTGGAAGAACAGAGGCTGTCGATATGCCTGTGCTAGTATATAGGGACAACTCAATGCAGGCCAACACCCCATCCCACCACAGGACACAACATCACCACATCTGTCTGTCAGTCTGTCTATCAGTCAGTCAGTCAGTCAGTCAGTCATTGTATAATTCTGCCTACCATTCCATCTATTGTTCTATAATTCTAACTCTGGATTTCATAATATTGCCAAGCTGTGGATGGTTCTCTTAACCTACAGGTGTCTTTTCATACTTTAAAACAAAGATCTCAAGTGTCCTATAAGTCAGCAGGTACCAGCCTGTCTGGAAATTGCCATCAAACACACACACACACACACACACACACACACACACACA